CATGCTCCAAATGCAGCAAGAATCAGCTTTGAGTCATTTCCCTAAGTGCCCGGGTCCGAAAGAATCTGAAGGAGACTTTATATGCGAGTTATGCTCCGCCTACTTCGCAACCAAATAAGGGCTCTCACAACATTTGCGCCATGTTCATCCAGACGCAGCTAATAGGGCTCGAACAGCCAAGGCGCAGCGTAGTGGTAGGACTGCAGTGCCTAGAGCAGGGAAGTCTTCTGTACCCACCACTATCAGTTTAAAAAGACCCCGTAGACATGGAGGCAAACGCGCTAGGAAGCGCTACTCTTATGCTAGGGCACAGGACCTCTTCAAGAATGATCCAGCGCTTTTGGCAAAGTGCATTAGGACGGGCATTGACTGTAGTAGTGTCGATAAACAGCCCCTTAACAGGGATGAGGTTAATGACCTGTACGAATCCATCTAGGGTAACACGCCCCCATTTCGGCTTTCCGAATTAAGGGGGCGATAAATTGTTGACATCTGAAATGGACTCAGACACAATTGTATTCACGGTGCAAGTTGCCGAAATTAAAAGACTGGCTGGGATGAAAAATGCCACGGATCCAGGATCTGATAAGATAAAAGTTAGCTACATATTCTCAGGAGCAATAATGGAAATGTTGTCCCTACTGTACACCCAAATTTTATACAGTGGCTTTGTGCCTTCTGGGTGGAAAACTCATTGCACCATCCTTATACCAAAAGAGGGTAAGGATAATACGGTGGTCAGTAACTATCGCCCCATCACAATTAGTTCTCTGCTGTGCAGAATCTTTTGGGGAATTATGGACAAACGCATTCGATCCGTGGTAAAGTTCAATCCGCGCCAGAAAGGGTTTATCCCTGAACCTGGCTGCTTCGCTAATATTCAAATTCTTCCTGAAACAGTCAGTGACATGAAAAAAACAAAGGGTGGTGTAGGTGTTGTGCTAGATATATCCAAAGCATTTGACACTGTTCCTCACGCGGCGATTCGGTGGGCTCTGTCTAGGAAAGGGATCCCTGTCGCCTTTACCAATTTGGTAATGGACCCTTACGCCGATGTCCACCGTCATTCAGCACCCCTCGAAAGGAATTGAAGCGCCAATTCGTAGAGGAGTAAAACAGGGGGATCCCTTGTCCCCACTCCCTTTTAATCTCATCATGGAGTGCCTGCTTGAGAAATTTGAAAACATGTCAGGATACACGCTATTGGGAAGGAGTGTGTCCGTGTTAGCATTTGCTGAGGATCTGGTGCTGTTAGCAAAGATTCCCCAGGAGCTCAAGAATTGGTTGATATAGTGGCGGAATATATTGGGGCCCTCGGAATGACATTGTCCGTCGCGAAATGTTCATCATTTCAAATTACAACTTTTGAACGATCCTGGTTCATTGAGGACCCCTGTCTGGAAAGGTCGGGGGAGAGAATTCCCCTTATCAGCAATGACCATAATCTTACATACCTGGGAGTGAACTACTCTATCTGGAACGGCTTCCTATCTGAAGCATCCATATCGAATTTTATGGAAGCAGTGTCGAGGCTTCAAAAGGCGCATTTAGAGCCCAATCAGAAGTTGGCATTACTTCACACCTATATAATGCCACATTACATGTATCAATTGGTTCTATCCATGCCATCAATGTCAATGCTCAGGGAAGCGGACGGTGAAATCAGAATGGCAGTCAAACAGTTCCTGCATCTGCGTATGAGAACTGCAGATGGCTTATTCTATCTGGCCAAGAGAGATGGAGGACTGGGATTGCTGCGGTTCACCCAACACGTTCCCAGAGTTGCGCTGAACCTAGGATTACGATTAGAAAAATCTGCAGATCCTATTTGCAGATGGTTGAGCTCCTGTCCGAGTTTTTACCAACGGACACTAAAGACCGCAAAATCACTGAGACTGAACTGGCTCTATTCTGAACAAGATTCAAGAGCTTATAAGAAGAAATGCGCCGATGACGAGGTAGCCGCCTGAACGAAGCTGGGATCCCAACGGAGAGAGGTTAGGGCGCATATAAACGATCCGATTGGAAATGCCTTTTTAAAAGACTATCATCTTCTGAAACCTGGTCTTTTTATCACTGCACTCCAATTGAGATCAAATACCGCTTCCAATAAAACTACTCTTAGTAGAGGAAGGCTCAGAGAGGATGTTTTCTGCAGGAAGTGCAATACAGCGGGAGAAACAATGAATCACATCCTCGATCAGTGCATTTTTAAGAAGACAGCAAGAATAAAGCGTCATGACAAGATCAAAAATTTCATAGAAGGGAAGATGCTCCGGAAATCGGACACGGTAGTGTCCACGGAAGCCACTTTCTCTGTTGCCGAAGGGGTTAAACTCAACCTGATCTGGTAATAAAAAGCCGGGAAGGGCTCCACGTGGTCGATGTGACTGTCCGCCACGAGGATGGGTCTAGCCTTCTGAAAGCAGGGGAGGAAAGGGTGGTAAAATACCAACCAGTCATCCCCCTGACAGCCTAACTTCATGGGAGTCCCCATCGCCAGAATCCTGTCAGTGGTGGTTGGAACCTCGGGGGCTATGCCAAAATTGACAGTCAGTGCCCTTAAGACCCTGGGGATCACATCTCGAGGCCATCTACTGACTATCTCGTTCATTGCTCTCAGAAGCTCTATTAAACTTTACACACAATTTGTAAATTACGATGGCGCAATTTAGCATTGCTGGTAGTAAATGCAGAAAAGAATCTTCAATGTCCTGTGGGGAAGTCTAGGGAACCCATTGGATCCTAAAATGCAGAGGAATTACCTAGTTGCCACGACTTTAAGTGGGAAGTGTGTGCTATTTAATGTAGCATACAGAAAATTGTACATTCAGAATCTGCTTTTTGGGGAGTTTTTATACCATAGAATTGGCTTATGGCAATATGTCCATCCCTCCGTGAACAACGCTAGAGGCTAATCACAAGATTTTCACCAAAATTGATATTCCCCAATTTTTCTGGCTGATGTTGTAGCCCCTTGAATTTGAAATGGATATTAAAATATTTATGTTTCTTTAAACATAGCTTTAGGAACGTTTCCAATTCCCCTCTGCCAAAATGGCTCCACATTTTTGGATTAATTTTTTTTATTGGATAAAGGAATGTATGCTTAAAAAAACGGCATATGTATAATTCTTGCCCAGACCAAAGAAATGAGAAAACTAACTAGTACAAGGAAGTCTGTGTCATTCTGTAACACCAATAGTTTAATACTAGAAGTGCTACAACAGCACAGGCTTTCTCACATTATCATAAATAATTGAGTACTATTGTAATACATATTTGCTTTTAGTATGGCAGGAACTGTCATATTAAAAATTCAAGTTATAACTTGAAAACCTCCAATTCAATCAATTGAAACAAAGCACCAGTGGTGCATATCTGTGTTTATTTTGAGGGCCAGGAACAGCAGTCAATTCTAAAATGAATAAATTTAACTGTTACAGTATTCACGTACATTATACAGGAAATAAATAATATTTCACACAAGCTTGCCTTGACTACATCGAAGTGAACTAACAATTTCTGAATACCATTATCAGTGATCAAAACATCTTAAAGACTAGAAGTGTATTTGGTAGTTCTACATTAATAAAATTACCTTCTTAGATCTATTTTCTTTCGAAAGAATTTTAACTGTATCATACGTTCATCACAACCGAAGACAACAAAAAGCATTCAAATATAATTTGAAACCGCAGTGTTGCCATTTTTAACCAAAACCAAAATTAAGGTTTCAAATCCAAGGGGCCACGACATCAACAAGATCGGTTGAGGAATATCAATTTTGGTAAAAAGTCTGCTCAGGTTTTAGCCATGAATGTTGTTCACAGAGAAACAGATGTTTTGCAGTCAATCGATTTTTCGGTATAAAGGACTCACAAAACCTGGATTCTCACTACACAATGTGTTAAAGAGAAAATTCACTTCATATAGGGGTAAGATCCACTTTTTCGTTAGCAGGGCCCAACAATATGAGTTTTTCTGTCGATAATTTGATGTTTCCCAGGCACAATTACAATACTTTCTCTGTACTGCATAAGCAGTAGCGAGAAAGGAAAAAGAAAACGATTGTAATATTTGTAGAAATTGTTCTTCAAAATATTTCATGATTTACGATTTATAGTTTTTAAGCAGTGATACACAATAGTTGCCCCAGTAAAATAAGGCCATGGAGTAAATGTAGATCATTCTTGTAGGGCAAGGGCACACTATTTGCCACTTAAGAACTTAAAGTAAATATTTTGTTAAAACTGTTTTGATGAAATAAAATTATTTCTTCAATACGCTATTTCAATATATTAAGTTTCCCATTAACTTTCATTACCTCTAAATCTAAAGATAGAAAAAAGGTGCCTTGGCCAAATTTTTTTCTCATTTGAACAATAAAAAACTGTGAAAAAGAACTATTTAGCAATTGCCCCACAAGTGCTACAACTTAAATAATCAGGATTGTTGTGCTTGGAAAGTTTTGCAATTCCCTGCCCTTTCCAGGTCATTTGAAATATTACAGAAAGTATTATCAAACAATCGAAAGACATATTCATTAGAATTTACATAGATTTGTAAACAATTTCATATAAATAATACAATCGCTTTTTGAATCACAGTTTAAGTAATAGCACAAATAATTTAAACTAAATTAACAATAAATGATTGATGGTAATATAATTATTCAACATTAATATTTCTAAACTAAATTTTTTTTTTTCCCCCTTTGCAGTTTCCCCTTAGCTCTCTACTCATTCTTATGAGACCTTTGTTTTTCATTTCTTGAAGCTCATCATTATATTGGCAATGAGCATTTCTCACATATTGGATCATGCCTTTAGCAATTTAAATTTTCTAATTCCTCGTTCACTCTGAACTCCTTCCCAGACATGACCCTGAACCAATAACGATTTCTTCGACATGTTATCGACGAGACACTCCTCATTCACTAAAATTCCGCACTCAATATTTCCTTGGCATGAGACAAGAAGCGAAACTGTCACATCGGAAAGAAATACTGAATATACTCAAAAAGACAAAATTGTTGGACAAAATCCAAAAGCGGGAGTGAAGGAAGGTTAACTTAAAAAATTCCATGCATTTTTTTTCTTCTTTTTTCCCCCCCACAGACAAAAAAATCCCTGCCATTCCCAGGTGTGCAACAACCCTGAATAATATGACCTTTAGAGCAGGGGTAAAGAGAAAACAGGCCTGGGGAATCTGTAGATTCAAAGAGGGATTCCTTATTTCAAATGAAAGTTCTGTCACCTCCCCAATACATGCACAGAATACTTTTCTCTACACTTCACAAATAACTTATAGCAATTTATTTGAATTAAATGTAAATACATTTTTTATTTGTTCTGAATGGAAAAAACTTTGTAGCTACAATTTTCATTTGCCCCAGCTGCTCCCTTTTTGGACACTCCTGTCAGAGTCCTTTTACACTATTATCCCTTCAGGAAGAGGCAAGTGTTTCTCAGGGACTACTGAAGTGAATTATTAATCTTAAAACACAGATAACTGAATAATTAAATGACAATTACCTTTGGAACAAGTGGAGTCTCTTTTGCTTTCTTTTCTTCTGGATTAAAATTATATAATTCTTGCAGATCATCCATACTATAATGCCTTTCAATTTGTTGCTCATCAACAACACGACAAGCAAGGGATAATTTGGTGACTTGCCTATTATAAATTTTCTCTTCCATCGTATGCTGCCATTTAACATGTTATTATAAAAAAGAGTCTTTATTATCAGCAAAGGATAAAAATCTCAACTTAGAAGCCAACCTACCTGGGCTAAAAAGCGATAAATGTAACATGGTTTCTTTTGTCCAAATCTGTAAACTCTGAAGATACTTTGCACATCATATGAAGGATTCCATGATGCATCAAATATTATCACTCGATTTGCTGCAGTGAGGTTTATTCCAAGCCCTCCTGCACGGAGTGGATATGAGGAACAAGCGTGCTCTACAATGTAATTAAAAAACATATCCTATTTAGTAATATATATATATATATATATATTATATATATTAATACTATATATATATATATATATATATATATACAAGAACACCACCCAATTTAGCAGTGAAGATGTGTTGGAACAATTGTTATCAGGCTTGTTTGCAGCGGTTTTTGCCTTAAACTGTTTATTGTGCCAGAGGGGGAAGCAAGATCATTGTTCAAGAAAAGTTGCACAATTAATATAAGAGCAGTCAGCACTTCAACACATGAGTTTGTAAAAGTTAACACAGAAATCTAGGTGTATTTACATTTAACAATACATACTATATTTCTCAACAGAAAAAGGCATTATGTTATAAACCATACTAAACAAAAAATAAATCTCAATAAACCTGTAGTTCTCTTCTTTGTTGAAACAATTGCACCAAGCCATGCGATTTTCAGCATTAGATGACCCATCCAACCGGAAGTAATCTGAACCTAAACACCATGATGTCTTTTCCTTCGCATCATTATTTTGACTCTCTTCATCTTTCTTTCTTAAGAAAAATTCAATAAGATCTAAAGAGAGAAGGCTTTGACTAAAAACCAATCTGTAAAATTTAATTCATAAACAATGAAAGTACATTTTTCCAAAGAGAATTTTCTCATGTTCAATAAATGATTTTGTACTTACACTTTATCACCTATTTTTTCACATTCTTCCAAAATTGTAAAAAGCATAGCAATTTTTCCACTTTGTTGTATATCATCTAATTGTGAGTCATCAGAAATGAACTGCCACCACCATTCTCCACGATGGCCATACTTATCCTCAGTTTCATCATCATCTTTTTCAGATTTTCCTGATTCACTGCCATTATCATCTACACAAGTATCAAAAGAACAAAAAAAAAAAATAAAAAATAAATGATGATTTCTCATAGAATATAAATAAGCATTTTTATTTTCATGCCATTATCTTGACCGTTGCTCTGCAATTTGAACAATAAAAGAAAAGCAAAAAATTTAAGCAAATTTATGGCATTGTTATTTTCACAGAAAAGGAAATAAGTTCTTTTTTATTGAATCTAAGTTAAAAGTAACTTTACAGGTATGCTGAGAATGGACCTACCCTTCTTTGCACTGCGTGTTCTCCTTTTATTGTCATTCTTATTAATAACTTCTTCAACATCTGAACCAGAAGAGGAAGAAGAATCAGAACTTGTAGCAATAAAATCCTTTAGGGATCCTTCTGAGTCATAATCTTCTTCCAAGAGTTGCTTAAAATGAAAAATTTGGTAAGTGTAACAATAATATAAACACGATCATCATCATGTATTGTAGTTTAATTCCTAGGCCAATGATTCCATCTCAATCAGATTTTTTGTCCAGTTTGCTTAGCCTTTTGAGCAAATACTCAGATGGCCCCTTTCTTGCTTCTGGACAGTAATGTAACTTCACTTTTTGCACCCAAGATATCATGTTCTATATATATAGTCATGACTCATCATAGACTATTGTAATTGTACACATGACTCAATCAATAATAATAATAATAATAATAATAATAATAATAATAATAATAATAATAATAATAATAATAATGTGTAAAAACTGAGCTCTTAAAAGAACATGTGATGTCTTTCCATTTTTGGTAATATTTAAATTAGATTGCCAATCATGTGCAAGTGTCATTCTAACAGCACAAAGGGTGTAGTTGTATGTTACTGAGCAACAGTGTAGGTAGGAACACAAGCTTATGCTGTAAGTGGAGCCAGTCATCTGTTGGGAGGCAAAATGGTGTAATTGGGAGTTGTTTGGTTCCCTGCAAATTTTCAATTGGTACAAAAAGAGTGAACACCTCACAATTCATTTTGAATATACCCTTTACAAGTTATTCTTCAAGTTGAGATCTAAAAAAGGATGCTCAGTTTCTCTTAGAAACACCTCACAGAAAGAGGTACTGAGTGCGAGTGGCCATGAGAGTGTGAGAGACAGCGAGAGTGTGAGCTTTCCAACTGATTGAATTGCTAGCTCATCAGTTGTAGAATTCAGAGAACATCATATCTCAAAGTTCACATCTTGGACCATTTTTGTTTTCATTAATTTATTAGTGATGAAGCTGTCTTAAACTTTTCATCTTTGTTGCAATTTGCTGCTGATTGTAAATTTTAGGCAATATTAAATCAGGCTGATTCAGATAATTCTACCATATGAATAAACTATAAACTGGTGTAACATTAAAAATTTAAATATTTTTAAAAGTACAACTTTTACATTACTTCAGAGGGTACTTATGATCCAACCATTTGAAAATAATGGGAAAATCTGTGTGTTAAAATGGATCATACACTTTTTTTAGCACATGAAGAGGATTGTTAAGCACTCTTTGAAAACCCTGGTTTTATTTGAAGACAAAAGTCAAAATTATCAACAGATTCTCTGATATATTTATTGTTGGAGAAGATTTATTGTTGTTATTATAAGCTGGAGACATCCAAATTGAACCCTGTTCACTTACATGGTCATTGATTATAAATTTAAAGGGAGAAAATTTATGAAAAACTCAAATTTCTTCTTATTGTTAGTTATTTGTTAAAGGTTCTCAAAATACTGAGTGTTTTGAAACGGCAGATACATTTCAATCTCCCAGAAATACATTATATACCAGAAGGAATTATATTATACCTGGTAAACATAGCTGTCTATATAATGCTGATGAACTTCAGTATAGTTATAAAAGTGTTTATAAAACAACTAAATATCTGTTCTACAGACCTTTGCATTATTTCTATCACTTCATAATTATTGAATCTTTTGGCTTCCTGTTTCTGAATGTAGTTACATTTTACATGTTTATCATTTTATATCTGCTATTTATTGTATAGAACATTTCTGAAATTGGAGATTTAAGGGAGGAAGACCACAAAATGTTACTATTAAATTTAGAATGTTTCTTGTGCCGTGATTATTTTGTAAAATTCAATGAGAGAATGTTAATATAAATGATTTCCACTACCTAAAATTAATGAAAGATTGCAGGGATCTTTGAAACCTCTCTGAATGATTTTGGGCACTAGATTAAAATTCATCTTCCTATCGACCAGGAGCATCAGGACTGGTAGGGTTCTTAACAAAACCACATACAATGATATGATAATACTGTTCTACCTTTTTCTCTCTTCTCTCAGCATTCATAAGTAAAACACGAGGATGAGTCCATATCCTCTGTAAAGCTTGAAAGTCACTGAATAAGCGTGCAGTTTTAGTTTTTTGACCATCTGGACTTGCAAAGGAAAGATTTTCCAAAAAGTATTTGTAAAGTTTAATTTGCAAGTCTGTGAGTCGTACTAATAGTACATACTCAAATTTAGGAGGCAAAAACGGAGTTAAAACAGAATAATCATATCTCTGAAAAGAAAAAAACAAGTAAGAACAATAAAATACAGAGATGTACAAATGAGCCTTTTCCAACATTCCACAAACATTTTATTGTAATACTACTTACTTGAACACTACTATCCAACATTTTGTGTAGAACATGAGCTCTTCTCTTCATTACTTTTACATCATGTGCAGTTGAATTATCATACTGACCATTATTTATTGGATTTATAAACCTATTTTTGAATTCCTTTTTTGTTCCTAAAAGATTTGGTTTAACGAACTGTACCATGCAATGATCTGTAGAATAAAGACAAAAAAATTATTTAAAATAACAATGATATGATAAATTTGTGTTTCCCACAACTTTATTGTTTCCTTATCAAACTCTCCAACTCTCCTATACAAAATAATATAGTAACAAAACCTGTCTCGTTTGAATGATCAACTCGTAAGAAAGTTGGAAAATAATAACCACACTGAAAAGGTGTAAATAGATTCCTTTTCTTCAGAAGCCAGACCCGATGGTTGTTTACCATTCGTTCTAAAAGCATTCACACACAGCTTCTGAGCGAGATTGGGCGGTAACTTGAAGGGATTGTTCTCTCCTTTCCTTCTTTAGGAATTGGAATAACAATGGCTTCATGCCAAATCTTTGGTAAGGAATATTCATCCAAAAACACGTTGAAAATGTGGAGGAGAAAAGAACATTTTTCGGTAGGTGTTTAAGCATTTGATTATGTATTTGATCTGGTCCTGGAGCAAAATCTTCGCACAAGAGAGGGCATCGGCAAATTGAGAAATGGAGAAATGAGCATTTTAATCTTCCTCCATGCGTCTCGAGAAATCTAGCCGGCAGTTCTCTGCAGACTCGAGTAATCTAGTCTGCGGTTCGGTCTTCAGAAAGCTAGGAGAGTAGTGTACGGTGCTGAAGATATGCTCGTAGTGTGAGGCCATTTCTTAACATTACCTTCCGGTGAGGTGAGATTTCCATTTACCAAGTCCGAAGACAGACGGCAAGAGACGTCATAAGTTCTCCAGGGCGCGGTCTTACTTCCCGGAATCTTTTATAATTGGTCAGATTATCTATTGTTGGGAAGAACGGCATCAGTAAAATGAGCAACCCGATATCGTTTGGGCAGGTTTCCGATATCCGCATTCCTTTCTCGAAAGTTTCGCACTCAGCTCGGTGGATTAACCAGCGAGGACGAGCAATGTTTGGGTCGAGAATATCGAAATTGATCAGGATGGCGATGTGGTCACTGCCATGCAAGTCGGCAAGGATGGTCCACTCAAAGATAGAGAGAGATGGACTACAGAGAGACTGATCAACGGATGAGAAAGGGTTTGTAGCCACGGAAAAATGTGTGCTTTCGCCAGTATTCAGAAGAATTATGTTCTGATTGTCAATAATATTTTCAAGAATATTGCCTCTCGAGCAGGTCTTCGAGCCACCCCAGGCGGTATTGTGGGAATGGAAGTCCCCCACAATATGGGGCGGGCAACTGAGAAAACGCATCTTCAAGATCTTGTTGTGACACGACTTCACCAGGAGGAATGTATATATTGCACACCGTTAGGGAAAAGGGTGGTAGGTGTATCCGAACGCATACAGTTTGAAAGTCGGTTCGAATGTTTTGTTCCTCAGAGAACAGGGAGTCACAGATGAGTACTGCGACATCACCATGAGCACGGAGTCCATCTTGATCAAACCGACAGATGTTAAACCCGAGAAGACAAGAGGGGTTGATGGGGAAGAATATACGTTTCCTAAAGGCAGGCTATAGATGGTCTATGGCGAGAAATTGTCAATCTTAATTTTGAATGGACACGAATGCCGTTTGGATTCCACTAGAGAGCCATGGTAGGGAATTATTTCTTAGGCTTTTTATCTTTCTCAGCCTTTGAAAAGTTTTAGAGGAACTCTCGTGGTGTTACTCGTCAACAGCAGTCATCCTGATTGCTGCTGGAGATGGTCACTTGGGTTGGGGGAATTTTCAGTTTTTTTGACACAGGCGAACGAGATCTACATGGGCTGGAGGATCGCTTAGTTCGAGACTTGGAAGTAGTAGGAGGGCGGGACTTTGGTAAAGAATTTTTTTCAGAAGCAATACCTGACTTGAAACTATTTTCTTAAGGGGCTCAATGGTAGTGAACTGTGTCTGGTGGAAGGTTTGCCATGGTGTTTTAAACTTTGTGGGTATAATTACCTTTCCATCTTGGATGCACATCGTATCAACAGGGAAGTCAATAGGCGACACCTGACAACAGAAGTAAGCAACTAGAGCAGGAGCAAGTTGTGTTTGACAACTTGCTGTTACCCCTGAGGACTTGATCTTTTAAGAATTGGAGAAGGATCGTGAGAGGTCTTCTGGATTTCTAGCCTGGTGCAGTCATTTGGCCTCAGGGAAGGAAACCTTTTGCGGTGACTCTTATCTTCTGAATCTCTCATTCCCGGAGAATGGTAGGGCACTGGTAGTTGACTGAGTGGTCACCTTCACAATTGATACAGTGCGGTGGTGTAGAGCAGTAATGTGGATCGTGCACCAAAGCACCCGAACTTCCTACACTGGGCTTAACGACATAAACCGTTGCTGGGTATGCCCAAATCTTGTTCGGGCGGTCAAAGATACGGATCAGGGTTAAAGTAGCCATCACTTTCCTCTGCTCTTTCCTTTTAATCATATAAACTTCAGATACATCTTGACTCTTGTAAAATTAAATTATTTCATTTTCTGAAGCAAAGTCGTTGTGGTTTACGACGCCTTTGCACAGGTTCAAGGGTGGGTGCGTTGTCACTACCATCTGGAGGCCGGCTATCTGCTCTGTTTTTAGGAGTTTCTCTATTTGCTTCCTATATGGCTCGCGCCAGACGAGCAGCACATACGTTTTAAAACGTTTTTCTTTCCTCGGCGCATGCCGTGAGGAGAAAACGAGACTTTTCAGTCGGTCATCTTTTTGGGGAAAAAAAACCTATTTAAATCAATAGTTAGTTCTGGATATCTCCTCTTCCTCGCGGAAGAGGGAGGGGAAGGGGGAGGGGGAGAAGGTTTAGTATCCATGGAGATGGATATAAGATTCGTTCCCGTGGTCCCCACCTACCACGGAGCCTAACAAGGGGACACTCCATCGGAGTTCCGGGGTTGCAACGGAGATATAGTGGGGGGATGACAGCGCTGCCCGCCGTGGATACCCCTGCTCACCCAGGAGCATATAATTCCTTTTATTCAGTCTTATACAAAAGCATTACCATATTAAGAAATTAAATTAAAAATATAATAAATGAAAATATTTTTCATCAACGATTTAGGTATTGATTGAATCTTACAGATCACGAAGCAAATATTCAAACTGATCTATGGTATATTCTAGAATCCAATTACTTGGTGCAGTAGACTCGGAGCATATTCGACATCCACGACAGCGTGTACACGACTTGTCAGACTTGCAGTCCGCACTATCAACTGATTCTCACGTTAATTATAATACATTTTAATGTCCACCACAAATACAATTAATATAACTCGTTTCTGCTACATAATAGTTTAACTTATTGGAATGGTGGGGGGTACTCGCGTTACGTGATTATTAGAGGGGAAACAATAGCGCGTTACAGGGGGGAGAGGAGGTCTTCAAAATACTCTAAAATTGTGTTACGTAATTTATGGGCGGCCCCAAACACTTAAATTAGTACTTCGCAATATTATACTGATTTTACGATTTATAACAACATATACGCTTTCAAAGCAAAACACTTCATAATATTAACATACAATGTAGGCTTTCACGGCCGGTTTCTACATCATAATTAGTTGTTTTGGGGTTTGTAGGCCATGGTCCAACGGAGACTGGTCCAAACGTTTCGCCTGCAACTGTGGCAGGCATCATCAGTGGCGTTGCTGGCGGGGGGGGGGGGCGAAGTGTTCTTCTTGGCAGCACCGCGTTGACTGACGTTAGTCAGGCGAAACGTTTGGACCAGTCTCCGTTGAACCACGGCCTACAAATCCGAAAACAACCAATTACTTCACAATATTACCACTGATTTTACGATTTATAATATTGAAGATGTTTTTAATACAAAGAAAATAACCAACTCTCCCTCGAAAACGTTTTAAGAGGACAGAGCAGGTAATCACTAGGCTAAGGATAGGGCATTTCAATCTCAATTTCTGCGATCTATTTAAGAGATCAGATCTACAACCCTGCCGAAAGTGTGGTGCAGCACGCTCCGCCTCCCACCTTATTCTCGAATGCCCTTGCTATTGATAATATAAGAAAACTTATAAAAATTTAAGGAACCTACAATCATTGCTCAGTTCTACAGACGGGTGTGCCAAACAATAAAATTCTTAGCAACTACAAAACTGTACAGTATCATATAGCTAAATAATGTGTACGAACTGTAGTTAGATTAAACCTTATACATTGAGAAAATGTGATTAGCTTAAACATTTTTGTTCTTGTCATGATTGTAAGTATTATGTTTGTATATACAATTGCAAAATGACAGAGGTCGCTGATGACTTTGACGTTATAAAGTGACCAGAAATAAATAAAAATAACACAGCTACCTACCACTTTAGAAGAAGTCGTAAAACGATGAATTAATGTATCCAAGACTACTTTGATTTATTTACGTAATTTTGTCTGTTTCTTGCATGGTAACAGGTGAAGTATTTTACATTACACATCTCGTGTTGTTTGCTGAACATGGTGTATTATCAAATATTAATTGAACGTGGAAACGTTAAATGATACATTTTTCTCATTGTGTCGGCGTGGAATCGAGTGTGTCTTCGCACTGTAAGTCTTTTAAGTTGGTCTGAAATGTCTACCGAGACGAATAATTCCTATACAACATCGCAAAAATATATAATGCGAATACGTAAGTTATTTTTTAAACTTCTACTTATTTACTATTCCCTTTAAAATAAATTCTCTTAACAGTGATTATAACCTTTAAAATAAACGCTCTTTAAAACTAAGGGAGGTTTATAAACAGCGTAAGGTGCCGGAGCGAGAGCGGAGGCGCGAGCCCGGTCACGAGGGCGAAGACCTGAAGCCCTCGCGAACGCAGCACATTGGATCCGTCAAGTAACGACGCGAACCACTTCGTGTCGAAATGCATTGGTTATAAAATTGCGTTGGCAATACAATTAGATTTCTAGCGTGAAAAATACGAAACACAGAATCAAAAGAAGAGTGGCAACCTTTAACTTCAGATTTACCTTTAAAGTTTCAATGTATTTTTCGTAGAATTGCGATTTGCGAATTTGTGGGCGCAGCAGCCCCCAATAGTGTATTATTAAAGTAGTAATACAGAACAGTAAAATCTGTCCAAGCCGGAATCGATAGGGCAAAAAAAAAAGTTCCGGTTTGGGGGTTTACGTTTTATGCAAGGTTGTATTTTTAACGACACTTGTAACATTGATATTTTCGTTATGAAACTAGTAAATTATTGTAAGTAACGTACTTATAGTAAATTAAAAATGACACGATTTTATTATGATTATTAAACTAGATTTACATACAACATATTTATGGAAGAAATCGTCAATAAATGAATATTAAACATTCTTCATTGACAGCTTTTGTTTTTTTCTTCCTTCCATAAGTTTGATCTTTTCATCTAATGTTAAATAATGTTAAGAGTGTTATGGTTTTCGCGTTGTTAAACTGGTTGTGAAACTCATAAAAATACACACCATCCCACTGCTTAATGGCTGATATGGGACTGCTTGTTGACTCTTTCAACAGTGACCCCAAGGTCGCTGTCGGCCTCTCTCCTTCACAGGGCGGTTACCACGACTAAATCGCGCGGAATATAGAATTTAATGCATTGCATTAAGAATATCTCGCGTCTCCGCCAATTGCATTCCGTTTAATAGAGTCCCCAAACCAGAACATGAAAAACCGTTTCGTTTCCGGGTTGGACAGATTCCATTTTATGCTGTGTAAAATACCATATAATTTCACGGACCAGAGAAATTTTCCGGTTAAGGCAGGTTTCCGGCTAGTGCAGGTCCCGGTTTAAACAGATTTTACTGTAGTAATACTTATAATGTAGTATTTTTTTTAAACAAGTGACAGTAGCGAAGGCGGTTATGACTGAGGTGCACCGTAAACCTAAGATTAATCGAAATATTAAATGGTAGTGCAGAATTTTGATCTCCGTCATCACTTGCCAATAGAGCATTAATAAATTAGAAATATATTAATAGTATTACAAATAAATTAGAATCATGTGGGTTTTGTGTAAAACTAATGTTTAAATGTACCACGTAAATGTTGATTGACTTGTATCACAAGGTTCATCTGTTCACATTGCAGAGAACAGATTCCTTTGAGGTGAACGAAATGTTTCTGGTTAAAGGAAGTTTAAACGTTCTGCTAGTGAATTAGTATACGCATAACGGACACTATCCCAAACGTTTTACTATGAAGGCATTGGCCGTCTTATCTCAAAGTGGGATGAATATACATACATATATAT